GCTTAATTAATGCCTTTACCTAATTTGCATATTGCTGACATATGCAAATTAGGCAAAGGCATTAATTAAGCATGCAAATAGCTGATTTTTAGGAAAAATGTAAATTTGTGTGAATAGTTAAAGGGCTTAAACTAAACCAAATTGTCTGAAATTTTGTACAATAATTAAAATCCCGACAAATTTTCCATCTATCAACTCAAAATATGATTACAGCTTTTAAATTTTGTGCGCGAGCCATTTTTAGTTTGTTGGAAAAGACACACCCCCCTAGTTCACAAAATTTGAGTTCGAGAAATTTTTTTCATTATTCTACATTATATGTACCCAAAGAAGCTATATATATAAACTAGGAGTTGCTATCGCAAGGAAAGTGCTGCCTTTTAGCCACATGAATTGAATGCAAAAGTTTATACTTCTACACAATTCTGTAAAGGGAAGCCTTTCACTTTTGACCCACTGTGCTCATTTCCACGTTTCATCATTGTTAGTATGGCAGGCCTGCACATGATGGTTATATGCCGTATCTTTCCTGCATAAATTTGTTTCTCGTTCATCATTTAAGACCAATCGCAAACTTATAAATAACCAACATGTAAATGAGGCCACTGGGTCAAAAGTGGATAAACAGCATTAAGAAGGGCTATTAACCCATTAGCTAACTCTGTTTAACGACAGACAAATTAATTTACACTGCATGTGTAACGCCAGACGATTTTACTTGTCAGTGATAGAGTACTGTCAGTAAATGGGTTAACAAATCTATCTGCCAATGTCTCTTATTAACAACCCATTAACTGGCAATGCGCCCTACCTTAGTATTTACTGTCTATCAACGCCAGACAATTTTACTCGCCAGTAGGTAGAGTCATGCCAGTAAATGGGTTAATTTCTCGTCACGTCCCAATTTAAAATTTTACATTTTTACGATTCTTATTGTTTCTAATCATGTATTTACTCACCGCTTGGCCAAACATTCTTTATTTCATATCGAGAAAAAAATTTGAATATTTTCTAAACTCTTCAGAATTTGCTCAGAATCATGTGAGTAAAATACTCCTTGTATTCAAGTGCTTTCGTGTAGAAAGTTTCGTTTGAATACGGCACAGAGTAAAAATATTTATTTTGAATTTTTCAAAATATCGAGTTTTTACTCGCACGCTTGCGCCACGTGTATGCTTGGCCATATATAGCCCGATGCAAACACTGGGAGTACTTTGATCTGTAGAATTTATTTCCGGTTTTTTCAGACCCCTAGGATGTAAACAGAGCTTTGTTTTGATGTACGTTTCTTTCACCGGCCACGCTAAAAATATTTTGTAAATACCGAAATAAAAGATGAAAATCTGAAGACACAAGCTTGAAAATAACATTTTAAATAGTGTTTTGGATTCTGCTTCGAATGAGACTATTACGAAAAATATATGTCCAAAGGGGCCGAAGTTATGTCGGCGAAATGTATCACCAGTTTACATTGTTCGTTATATAATGAAATATGATACCATATCTTACTTGTTAAAATTCGCATCCTACTATTATGACTAGGCAAATGTCGAGAACCATACAACAAATGTTTTAGTTCTTGTTGGTATTTGAACGCACGCTTTATCTTTACTACCACAAAGTTTTGCGCGCGGATTATACTTCGGGCAGTACTAAAATTTGCGCACCCAGCGCCGCGCTTATAGTACTGCGCGAATTTTAATACTGTAAGGTATATTGTGGACATTTGACTAAAATTATAATTTAATACAATAGTAATACTCGACTTTGAACAACTGAATAGTTTATAAATTCTAAACTCTTTCATATACATAGTAGCCAGAGATTTGTAGTAGGTAGCCATAAATAAGGTGGCCATATATATATTAGATTCATAGCAGAGATATGAACAATTGTTTCCCTCGATTCTCAAACTCGTAAATATACATAATAACCAGAGATTTTTTATAGTACAGGTATAGCCATAAGTATATGTGGCCAATAGCCATAGACTGATAGTCATAGTAGTCTTCAAAGCGGAGATACGAACCCTGTTTCCCTCGATATTCGCAACTTTATATTAAACCGGGATATTCACAACTTTATATTAAACCGGTTCATCACGTCGATAAATAAACACTGATTATATAGACTAAACTTACAAATATTAAATCAGTTTAATATAGTCTTCTGTCTTCATAGCAGAGATATGAACCCTGAAAGGCTGTTTATAATTTTGACTGTTTCCCTCGTTTTATCACATCGATATAAATAAACACTGAATACAAAATTTAAAGGAACAACCCCCTCAAATTTACAAACGAACTTGAATACATAATATGTCCCGGAAAACCGACATCCTCCCCTCTTCGAATCGAGATTTCGACTATACATAACTCGGCCGGAAGGACTGGACACGAAAAAGCAAGAACGTCAAGAATAGTGTGCTGCCTCGCTGACGCTCGGCAGCAAAAATAGGATACAAATAGGTGTTTTGGGAAATTGAGAGCAATTTCAAATCTGTTCAGTTTTTTTATACACCCTGTATAGGACCTGTATATGAGTTTGTATATGCATTTCATTTAGGACAGATAATCTCAACAGTTTTAGGGCAAGTTGACCATGACGTTCAACGTGCATGGTAACGCTGCCCGAACCCCAATCCGCGGCGAACCGTTCGAAACTGACCACACCAAAAAACGACGCTTTCGCCATGATAGTGCTACCTACCAAACCATAAAAAACGTTGGCTATTCTGAGGTGCTTATATGGTGCAAAGATGGTGCTTTCATTGGTAAGTGTGAAATGCTTGGCACTGATATTTCCCGAGAAAATGATCATTCAATACCCATAGTCAAATTATGTTAATTTGTGGTTTAGCAACTTCAGATAAACAGTAGCCTGCGTAGCAGGCGCTTGCCCTCCCCCCTAAATAGCGCCTGCTACGCAGGCTAGATAAACAGCAGTGGACCTTGATTACCTTTTTTCCTAAATCTTTTTGATAGAAACATAATTGGTACTTATTTAAGTATATTATCACTGTTTTGGTGTAAAATAGTTTTTTATATCGTATTCGATTTTGTGACCGAAATAACAATTTATGTACCTACCTCCTGCGAATGGACGTACTGTATTTGGCCAAATTCGCCACTTTACTCCACTGTTTATCGCAGATACTCGTTGAAATCCTTTTAAATATGTGAGTCAGCTCAGACGTAATGGTATGATGATGGTATCAAGCACATTTTAAACACATTTTAACTACGTTTCAAGTAGATCCTAGCTGTTTAACCATCAACGTTGTCCAAATTCAGCGGCATTGTGTCATTCCGTATCGGTTGTCAACAATTCGGTGAATATTTTTCACGAAGATAGAAGGCTGCGTGATATAGACTAAAAACTAATACAATCATACAGACGTTTGTTTTATTTCTCGTAGCGACAAATAAATACATATTATGAACATGTCATACAATTTAAATGTTGATTGTTGGTCTTCGTGCTGCGTGCCTTTGCTTTGATGTTTAAAGTCTCCACCTCCACCCTCCACC